ATCTGAAAATGTCTTTATTTCACCTTCATTCCTGAGGGATATTTCACTAAATAAAGAATTCTGCAGTACTTCAGGAAATATTGTGCCACTCCCTATGGCCTCCATTATTTTTTATGAGAAATTGACTGTCATTTGAATTTTGTTCCTCTACAGGTAATGCGTTCACTTTGCTCTGGCTACTTTCAAGAATGGCTTTTAATTTTTTAAGCAGTTTATGGTATGTCCAGGCATGAATTTCTTTGGGTTTATCTGGTTTGGGCTTCACAAAACTTCTTGAATCTGTATGGTTTATATCTTTCACCAAATGAGATTTTCAGCTATTACTTCTGCGAATATTTATTAAGCACTTTCTCATATCCTTCTGTGACTCCTGTTATTGTCCAACAGGTGACACTCTATTTTGTTCTTTTTAAATCTTTTTGCTTTCTGATTTTTTTTCCTTTCTTGATAATTTCTACTGACCTCTTTCTTTTGTCATCTTCCTTTCTGCTTCTGAGTCTCTTCCATGAATGTTATTTATTTTTTAAGTTTATAGTTTTCCAGTTCCAAAACTTTCATTTTGTTCTGTATATTATTTTCATGTTTCTTAGTGTGCTGAGTAATTTGAGATTGTATTATAGATATTTTAATGTTATAAGCCTCAGACTCTTCTTTATATCCTATAGGAAATTTTATATTTTTGTTTTAGCAGGCAATTGATCTGGTTAGGTTTAGATCACAAGTTCCAGCCCACCTTCTATGGGTGTTGGTTCCAATGTCAATTCAGTTTTCAAAACCATTGCTATTCTATTTGGATCTGTCCTATGTGTGTACTATCTTATGATCAGTCTGGTACCTGGGCAGAGCTCTCTTAGCTCAGCTCTTACAGTCTGTTACGTTAGTTAGGATCCACTCCACCCATAAGCAGGATGAACAGGTTGGGGGGTGAGCCCAAGAATTCTTAAAAAAATCTTTGCAGAGTCTCTTTCCTTTGCTTTTCCTTCTCTACTGTCTCTCCAGTACTCTCTGATACCCTGAGGCTTTCCTTGTTTTGGTCTGCCAGCCAGAAACTGCCCTCTTCCATAATTGAACCATGTAGCAGAAGACAAAAAAAAAAGGGGGAAAAAAAAAAAAGTCACTGCCATCAAGTCAGATCCAACTCAATGACCCCGCCTTGTGTTTCTGAGGTGATATCACTACGGAAGTAGATTTCCCAACCTTCCTTCCAAGGAGTGGCTGGTGGGTTTGAACCGCTAGCCCTCTGGTTAGCAGTCAAGCTAGCCATCTGGTTAGCAGTCAAGTGCCTTAGGCACTATGCTACCAGAGCTCCCCTATATATAGCCTGTTTCTTACTATTGTCTTGTTACTGGTCACAAGACAATAGTAAGGCCCTTATATGGGTCAAACATTAGACATCTGATAACAAATAAACTTTAGAAACAGGCTATATATTCTTAGCACCATTCTTTAGCTAATCCAGTGAAATGTAAAACCTTCCTTTAAGCTGTTTTGTAATGAAGCAGCCAATTTAATAAGAAAACATGTTTTTCAAAATCATAAAAAAAAAAAAAAAAAAGGCTTACTGGTCTGATAGAGACTGGTGAAACCCCCAAGATTATGGCCCCTAATTACCCTTCAGGCCCGGAATTGAACTCACTCTCATGGCTTCTAGCCAAACAATATGCAGGCATATAAGGTGAACATTTATACCAGGTAGGTACACGCCTTAGAACAATCAACCATGGGAGATCAGAAGGGCAGTATTTGCACAAGGAGATAGCTTAGAGGGCAGGAATGCATAGGAAAGAAGGACACAGGGAAAAGGTAACTACAGGATTAACTGGGAAGAGAGCTGTTGCTTTATGGGGATTGCAACCAATGTCATGAAACAAAATGTGTATGAACTGTTGTATCAAAAATGAGTTTGCTCTATAAACTTTCACCCAAATCACAATGATAAAATTTAAAAAATGCGTTTTTAGTTCTAACGTATATTTTGCCTCTCTCCCTCCTTGCCGGTAATACTATTGAATGTTTTAAATATCAAATACTGTAACATTTAATTTGCAAAGTTTATGCCCAGTACAATTTAAAAAGGATAGGGAATATCTTAAAGATTTGAAAAAAAAAAAAAGCTGAATTATGCAGAATTCTCTTTTGGGAAATTACAGCTTCCAATAACTCAGAAGCCACTGTGCTTGACCTCTGGCAATGTAGTTTGCTGAGCAAGGCTCAAGTGACCAGGCAGCCCTACCTTTCAGATGTTCAACATGACAACAAGGCTGTGAAATGGCATAGTATATGCCTACTGCATTATGAACAATTAAGGTAACCTAGGTTGGCGATTCAAACCTCTGCAGAAGGAAGATGAGGCAGTCTACTTCCATAAAGATTTACTGCCTTGGAAACCCAGTGAGGGTAGGTATGAGTGGGAACTGACTCGATGGAGTGGGTTTTACTCTTTTAAGAAAGCAATCTCTGGGGCTTTAACAGAAAGAATAGATTCTGATTCACTTTGATCCAACAAGTTATTACTTCAATATTCTACTATTGCTTTTAATGAAAAGGAAAGTAACACAAAAAACACATTTGGAGCTCAGGTGGTACAGTGCCTAAGGCATTTGACTGCTAACCAGTAGGTTGGAGGTTCAAACCCACCAGCAACTCCATGGAAGGAAGACAGGACAATTACTTCCATAAAGATTTACCACTTCGGAAACCCAAAGGGGTTGCTATGAGTCGGAATCAACTCGATGGCAGTGAGTTTTTTGGTTTTAATTAAGCACTTAAAACCAAATTTAGAAGGTTTTAGATAGAAATTATTTTATATTTCAAATGTCACTGGATTCCCAGTTTCAAACCTTTTCAACATGAAAAATAATTTTAAACTATCTCACTGTCTTGCAAGTTGTCCAAAGAATTATTAACATGATTACAACTACATTAGTTTCTAGAATGAGAAGAAAAAAGTAGGACAACAGAGTTGTTAAAACTTTACAAGTTTCATAGGCTCAGAATGTAATTTTCACCCCTAAAAAAAGAAAGAAAAGAAACCCTAATGAAAATGGCGGATGACTCAAAATTGATTCATATTTATTTATTAGTTGTTCATGCATATCAAAAGTACTTTAAAAATCTTGTTAATTTTTCTACTTAAAAAGAAGGGGAAAGTTTTACCAATATTGCCTTCTAGGTTTTATATATCTCTGTATGGGGTTTTCAGTAGTAAGCACATTAAATACAAGTCTGTTTCTTAAATTATAGAAAGGCTGGCTTGTTGAAAGCCTAAGAAAAAGTCAGGTTTCTAAGGCAGTCCATCAGTGTGCAGCCTGAATTACTCCTTGAGTCCATCTTCTCTAAGATTGTCAGATGCAATATGAAAAGCTTGGGCTTAATGACTAAAACCTAACATGCAAGAAGTGGTTTAATGTAACAGTTAACACCTGCACAAATTGCCACATTAATTTGATTTTTAGGAACCTGCAATATTGAAAGGCTTTAATAGTAGTAACACCAAAATTATTAGCAAGGCTGTTCTGCACAACACATAGAATAAAGATTTATTATTGTTATATATACACCTCAAAGATTAGAAAAGCTGTCTATGTAAAAATTTACCTCAACACAATGCAAATATTTAAAAAGTTAAACCCTCAAAATTCTTCAGTTTTAGTTTTCAAAACTAAATACATTTATGTAAGATGACAGTATGTGAAGATTTTATGTTCTAAACATTGACTATAGTACTTCAGAGAACAAGAGTAAAATAATAAGGAAATGCTCCTTCTCACACATGTAACACTAAATTGTCATTTATACATCTTTAGGTACTAAAGAATTTTAGCACTCACCCATATCTTAGCTTCCAGTCTCTGCTAGGTGGAGAAAACTTGACTCATTTGATGGAAACAAGTTTTTCAAAACCATTTTCTACCCAAAAAGCAAATATAATAAAGAGAAGGAACGCTTCACTTAAGTACGTAGATTTGTTTGTGCCCACACACATACCATCGTACTTCATATTAAGTTCTATGTTAGATCTATTGGCTAAGAATCAAACGATAATGTATTTCAATCAAAACTATGAATATTTTACATCATTAAGACTTTGTTGTTACTAAATTCTGTAGAAGAAAAAGAGAAAGTAGAGACAGGAAACATCTCCAGTGGATACCTTAATATTTTTCTTATATCCCCAATGACAATCTCAATTTACAAATAAAATTTCAGATTACAAATTCTAAATGCAATTGCCAGCTCCTATACAATAGGCAAACGTCCTCGGTGGGTATATGCCAAAAGGCCAGACTGCAGCAACTGGTTAATTCCCCATTGTGTTCTTAAATATATAGATATAGATATAGATATACCTATATATATATAGATAGATAGATAGATATCCTGCAATTAAAAAAGCTGGTACTGTGATAGTCTTTGACTCAAGAAAAACTCCAACACTACTCTAAATACATATGCAATAATCCTTTATTTTTTGGAATGTATTTGAACTATTACAAGTGCCTAGATGAGCCTTTAAAGAGAAAAGGTAACCCTTATCCAGCTCAAATAATTTTTAAAATATCATGATGTACAACATGAACTGGTGCTAAACTAAAATGTAATTAAATTTAATTGTTCAAGAACTACCAAAGTTCTGGTTTTATTATACATGGAATCAACACTACAATTGAAACTCATTTTTTACCTGATGCTTGTAAATTCTTTCACAAAGAAAACTCCACATAATGAAGATGAATGAGTGTTATGCTGCAAGAGGAAAGATCTGACTAGCTATGGAGTTTGAGTAGTTATTCAGAATGAGATGAGTTTCAGCTTAGGAATACTGAATGTTAAGCATCCATAGCCATTTAAAGGCATTTGGTGTATCTTAAAAGATTAAGATGCTTTGAAAGAAAACTCTTGTAAGAATATCAAAGATTTAGGGAATTATCTTCATGAATAACTTTAAGTGTTTATGGCTTCAACTGTCTGCCCTACTGTTGAGGTAGGTGGCCATGGTTCATCAAAATATAACAATCTTTTGGAAATCCCCTAAGGAAAACCTTGCATAATCAGTTAGTTTCTTAAACCTGTGTCTTGGTCCCCTTGATGGTTTGGTTTACTTTGTTTTTTTCTTTAATTTACACTTTTTAAAAAGAGGCTGTCCAAGCAATTATGCCTTTATGCTCTTGCTGAATAGCACCTCATGTACTCTGTCATCCACGGGTTGTCTGAAGAGAAAGTCTTTATCTTTCTGTTTTTCTCCACATCCACAGAGTGGGCACGTTGTCTCTGAGCAACCAGTTTCCTTTTTTCCACTTGTCTTCTGTTCTTGGCTCGTAATGCTGATTCATGAATCTAAAAAGAGTTTAAAAATAAAACTATAATAATTTAAGTGGCTTTTGTACTAATTTTCAAGAGCATTCACAATGAAGTACCCTCAGATTTTCTGAAAACAGAAGTAGTCAAGCTCAGCCGTTTTATGTACAAGGAACTAAAAGGAAAGCTTCCAGAAAGCTGTTCCCATTGAACATACTGGCTTATTCAGGATCAGTGACAAGGAAGCTAAGCAATAGAAAATGTCTGTTCTCTGGACTAAACTTCAGATATAAATGACAGGCAACTGATTTTCATGTGTTTCAAGAAATTGACTTTGGAAAATTGTTGGGACTGCTTAAATGGATACTATTCCATCAAAGAACTTTAAATGTTTTCTAGCAATATACTGAAAAGATAATGAAAGGATTCTCAAGGGATTTTACCACCTAAGACATTTCATACAGACAGATCCTGTTGATATTAATCCCATGGACCTGTCAGAGGTCTTTTGTTAAACTACAGCTTTGTTGTCTCAAATATCACTCAAAATAACACCATCTGCTAGGGTTCAAAAATCTGTTCAGTAAACTTCTCAGTGTAGTATTTAATCAGAATTCAAACAGTTTGCAGTTTCTCTTTCTGCTACTTTGAATGTATTCTTTACTTAGGCTTTACTAATAGTATCAGTGCTAACATAGATCATTGTTTTGTGACTGTACACATAAGGGTCTTATCATCTAACATGTTTTCTGACCTTGACACAGGGTGACAACAAGGCAGAGAAGAACTCATAGTAGCAGGAGTTTAAAATCTGCATTATGGATGATGATGAGAAACCATATAATGTAAATTGAATCAGAAAAACACAAGATATTTTATGGGAGATGTTTGGAACTACAGGAGAAGACATCTAACAGACAAACCACTAACAAAGGAGTCAAGGAAATACTACGTTATAAAGCCTATTGCTGTTAAATCAATTCTGACCCACAGACCTTATAGGAAAGCAGAACTGCCTATAGGGTTTGCAAGGCTATAATCTTTATGGAGGAGCTCTGGTGGCATAATGCCTAAGGCATTTGACTGCTAACCAGGAGGCTGGCGGTTCAAACCCACCAGCCACCCCTCGGAAGTAAGACTGTGCAATCTACTTCTGTAGTGATACTGCCTCAGAAACCCAAGGAAGGGTCGCTATGAGTCAGATCCAACTTTATGGAAGCAGACTGCTTTATCTTTCTCCCAGGGAGCAGCTGGTAGGTTCAAACAGCTGACCTTTTGGTTAGCAGCCAAGAGCTTAACCACTGTTGTTAAGACAACCAATAACAAAAGAGTCAAAGAAATACCAGGTTATCAAAGTCCAAGGAAACGGACACCTCTCCAGAGGTCAGTCACAAGCTGTCCTCCCACCTCCACCCTATTTTCTCCTCCCCTGCTCCTCCTGCCCATGTCAAAACTCAGGAACTCCTACTCATCCACATCTTCACTGGCTTGGTGTCAGTAAACTCTTCTAGGTGACAACTAACTTCCAACCAAGATCTGCTGGACAGATAACCGACATCCAGAATCCCGTTGTTAATCAGATTCCAAGTTCTGGGCTTTCCTGACCCAGTCTACCACCATCACAACCCCAAAGCATCCCACGCCTTAGGATATGAAACTCAATAACTAGATTGTAATCCAACCTTTGGTTATTCCCCAAAGGAAAATCAGAAAAGCAAATGAACATAGGCCCACCTCATGCACAGGGGCAGAAGCACAGACGTTGTGAGTTTTTTGGCTTCCTGTATCTGTCTGTCTTTCTCCCCAGCCATAAAGAGCAAATGGATGCTTGTTTTCTCTTATTTTACTTGATGTTCTTTGAGGACTTTTGGCTGTTTTCCTATTTTCTCTAGCAAACAAGGCACTTGGTTGTTGTCGAGGGTCGACCCCACTGGGTAGTTTGTCAGTTTCTTTTGTTTTGATTTTTTGTTCTGGTTTTTCTTCTACTTCTCTCACTGGCAATTCTTTTTTGGGGGGAAAAAAACAAGATGAAATGAAAAGGTTTACATATATCATTACTTTAAATATTTGGGTTGAAAATTCATAATGCTTAAGTTAGTAATATTTTCATTCTTATAGCTCAATTCATAAGTTTCACTTAAAGCAGAAATAGAGAAACAAGTTAGCAGAATGTTGTTTATCCCATTTAAAAGCCCACAACAAAGCCACCAAGACCTATTCAAAAGGAATTATTTTTCCTAGTATTCTGAGATTAACCTCTCAGTTTAATGTTAAAAGTTGGAAAGAAACCATGGCAGAAATGGACTTTCTTCAAGACCCCTAGTGATTCCCCTCAAGCCCAACCATCTTAGTGTCTTGCTTCAGGGAAAGATTTCAATTTGTGGTAATTATGCAGTAGACACAAGGTGTTAGTTTTTAAGTTACTCTACTCAAGTTCAAGGATTCCATTTCTTTTTGTTGTTCCATGATGACCAAAAATGCTCCTTATGGCTCTTACATGCTGCTTATGAGAAGTAGGTGGCTCCCTTGGTTTTAAAGGACCAAGTCATCAAGTCACAATAGAGAATGGTTTCCATAGTTACTAACCTAGATACAAGCTATGCAGTCTCAGTAGAAAGAGCAAGAGATGAGGGCTCCTGTGCTAAGGAGACTTCACCCACATTGCAGAAGAAATGACTGAGGGAACCAGGCCCACAGCCCACACAGCCCTAAGTATACAACTTTTAGTTGCTATTCTTTTCTTGTCTGTTTCTTGTGTTCTCTTTAAGTTATAATGAACCCCTGTACAGGACAGGACAGACACAGAAGCAAATGTTTGGAAGAAACCTTTATACATTATCTGTATAGATCATCTGTCATTCCTGCTTTCAGAAATGACCTTAACTATCCCAGCTTGAGTAGTTTATTACTAAAGAATAGAGAGTCCACCCCAGCCCTGGGCTCAGTGCTCCTCACCATCATGCACCATGTCTATAAACCCTACACGTGAGCTGTTTGGGGATGAGGGAGGTGCCAACATTCCACTTTAGGATTAGAACCTGAATCCTTGTGGTGTTCAAATGTGTCTTTGAGTGATGTGTCCACATCCTTTCCTCTTCTCTTTACTGGATCTATAAAGAGGAGGAAAAGAAGGACAATAAGGAAAAAGGGGGAGGAATATTTGTGAGCAGTATTTGTGTACATGGTTCAATACTGGGAAAGAGTGAAAAAATAATGCAACAATCTTCCCTGATTCTGTTCCTTGCTCCTTCTCTCCCATTCCATGTATATCTAGCCTAGATCTTTCAGGTAAGTTTTCTCAGAGAAGGTAGTAATCATTTAATGGGTAAGATAGAGCTAGCCAGGAGGAGATGAGGAAATAGAATTTCAGGAAGGGGGAAGGAATGGCTTCTTCAAAGGCATAGACAAGAAGGAATTATAACTATTGTAGTTCAGAATGACAAGTACATGGAGTCTGTGGGTTAAGACTCAGGCACAAGGGTGAGAGAAAGACTTCTAGACCAAACTATATTGTTGTCTTGTGCCATCAAGTCAGACCAGACTCACAGCGATCCCACCGTAGGTTTCCAAAGCAGTATCACTATGGAAGTAGATTGCCAACCTTCCCTCCAAGGAGTGGCTGGTGGGTTTGAACACCAGCCTTTGGGTTAGCAGTCAAATGCCTTAGGCCCAAACTAAGGAATGTTAATTTTCTCCTGAAAATAAAAGTCTAGAACACTGTGGTGGTTCAGGTTCTGTGTCAGCTTGACTAGGCTATGATTCTGAGTGGTTTGGCAGAAACTGTGTAATCATTCTCCATTTTGTGATCTGATATGAGCAGTCAGTCAGTTGAAAGGGGCGTTTATTTAGGGGTATAGCCTGCATTGCAATATATATATGGATGTTCTGGCAAAGCTTCCTCTCTCTCAATCCTGCATGCATCTTGTCATTCTCTAACCTCTGATTCTTGAGACATGAGCCAGTAGCCTGCTGCCTGACCTGCAGATTTTAGATTCACCAGCTCCTGCAACCATGAATCAGGAGAAGCCTCCAGCCTGATGCCTGGCCCACAGATTTGGGACTTGCCAGCCTCCATAACTGAGCCATTACCTGGAAATAAATCTCTCTATACTTATAAGAAGCTCTGGTCACACAGTGCCTAAGGCATTTGACTACTAACCAGAAGGTTGGCAGTTTAAACCCACCAGCCACTCTGGAAGAAAGACTGGGAAATCTACTTCAGTAAAGATTTCCCACCTTGGAAACCCAATGGAGGTTGCCATGAGTTATAATCAATTTGATGGCAGTAAGTTTGGTTTGGTTTTATATATACTTATATATGTTTCACTGGTTTTGTTCCTCTAGAGAACACAGCCTAAGACAGACTCCTTCCAGATCTGACTGGATGGTCAGACTATCCTCAGCTGTAAGGCCACAAAAAGATGAGGAAAGGATACTTGATCCCTTGGGTTTGAGATGCTCTTGGAACTGCCAAGGAGAGAGCTGGGCCTTAATCTGCAGCTCAGGAGAGAGGATGATATTTGAGATGAAAATCATGAACATGCAGGTAGGAGCTGAAGCTCTTGATGTGGATCAAATCACCCAGAAAAAATACCCAGCGTCAGGAGAGAGGAAGACAAAACCAGGCCACTGAGAACACCATTATTTAATAACCAGCTAGAGGAAGGAGATGCCAAGAAAGAGACAGAGAATAGCTAGAAAAATATTTAAATAAATAGATACATAGATAGATAGGTAGATAGATAAGCAGGAGAGCCTGGTGTCAGAGAGACTGAGGAAAAAATTTCAGAACAGAAGACAATTAACAATGATAGATATTTCAGAAATAAAGTGAGATGAGGATTAAAGGATTAAAGATACTTTCAAACAAAAACCATATTTACCACAACACAAGCATACCTACTCTGCAGAGAATTCTAAAGTATGTACTTGAAGGAGAAGGAAAATGATCGCAGGTGGAAGGTCAGAAATGCAAACAGGAAGGAAGCACAAGGCACCCCAAGGGTAGGTATAGGTATAGAGCTACCTAAAGGAACGTCAACAACAATAGTAATGATCACACTAATAATTCCTTGTGAAGTTCTAAAATACATGATATCAACAGCATTCAAGTAGTAGAAAATAAGGGTATGGATTAACAATAGATTTTGATAAGAATTCATGTTATAACTTCTAAGGGCAACTTAGAATAGAAACAGGGTATAGCTTCCAAACTAGATGAGGAAAGAAAATGGAATGATGAAAATAAGTCAATTAGAAAGAAATCAAGAAAAGAAAAAGAAACAGATGAACCAAATGGAAAGCACAAAATAACCCGAGAGATTTAAACCCAAATATATCAGTAATTTCATTAATGTAAATTGATTAACACTCCAGTTAAAATTGTCAACTATATTTACCCATACGCATAAAAGTACAACTGTATGTTGTTTAAAACAGGTATAATAGTGAAATAAAAGATGAAAAACTGATACCTTATGTCATGGATTGAATTGTGTCCCCAGAAAATATGTGTCATGATTCTCAGTGGTTTGGCAGTTATGTAATAAAGTAATGTGACAATTATGTAATGATGCATTCATTCTCCATGGTGTTATTTGATGTGATCAGCCCTGATCTGATGTAAGGGGAGTTTCCTGCAATGTAGCCTGCATCACCTTTTATCTTACAAAAGATAAAAAGAGAAGCAACCAGAAACAGGTGACTACTACCACCAAGAAAGAAGATCCAGGAGTGAACCACATCCTTGAGCCCCAGTGTCCCTGTGCTGGGAATCCAAGGAAAGATTGATGCCAAGATAAATGTAGATCTCCAAGGAATGCCAGACCAACAGATGTTAAAAGGAGACAAGGACTTTCCTCCACGACCAGCAAAAAGAGAAAGCCTTCCCCTAGAGTTGCTGCTCTGAAGCCAGACTTCTGGCCTCCTAAACTGTGAGAGAATAAATGTGTTTCTTAAAGCTATTCAATTGTGGTATTTCTGTTATGGCAGCACTGGATAACTAAGATACCTTGTAAGTAGTAACCAAAAGAAAGCTCACATAGACTATAATAATGCTAACCAAAAAACCAAACTCACTGTTGTCGAGTCAGATCTGACTCAGCAAAAATTATTATCACCAAAAACAATGAAGTCACTTAATAATGATAATGTTTTGATTCAACAGGAATATATAAGAGTTCTAAATTTTTATGTACTTTATACATTGCCAAAAACATATAAAGCAAAAACTAAGAGAATTACATGGAAAAATAGAAAATCTGCAGCTATATAGTGGAAGACTATAAACCTCTTCATCAGTAGTTAATAGACACATTTTGACATTTAAACAAAAATATAAATTGAGTCTTGATTTAGAACTGTGCTATCCAATACAATAGTCATTAATCATATGTGGCTACTTAAATACAAATTTAAGTATTTTAGAGATAAAATTATAAACTCAGTTCCTCACAGTTGCATTAGCCATATGTCGGGCTCAATAACCGTATGTAACAATGCAAATAAAGAACATTCCCAACATTATAGAAAGTTCTATGAACAGTATGGCTTTTTAAAAGTAGTTGGAAAAAAATAACAAATTTTATACCTAATGGGTATATATAGAACTCTAGACCTAAAAACTGCAGAATACACACACATTAAGATTTGCTGTGTGGCCTTGAAAATGTAAATTCCTGAAAATGTTCTATCCTACTGATTACTGAAATCATAGAGAATGTATTCTCTAACTACAGTGTAATTAATCTATATACAATAAAAAAATTAATAACTTTTCAAAATCTCTACCAGTTCTGAAATTAAAAAGCATTTCCAAATAACTCATGGGTCAAAAAACTAATAATATAAATTAGAAAAGTGCTTCAATATAGCAAAATAAAAATGGTACATAGCAAAATAAAAATGGTACATAACAAAACTTAAATGGTGCAGCTAAAGCATTAATTAGAGGGAAATTAAGTCTTAAATATGTTGGAAAGAATAGCAAAAAAATAAATAAAAA